TCACAACTTCCTCATGAGGGGAAGGGGGACAGGCCCTGAGCTCTGCTCTGTGGGGACCAGTGACAGGACTCGAGGGAATGGCCTGAAGTTGTGTCAGGGAAGGTTTAGGTTGGATATTAGGAAATGTTTCTCCACCCAGAAGGTGGATGGTTGGGCACTGACCAGGCTGCCCAGGGCAGTGGTCACAACACCAAGGCTGACAGAGCTCAAGGAGTGTTTGGACAAGGCTCTCAGACACATGGTGGCATTGTTGGGGTGTGCTGTGCAGGGTCAGGAGTTGGACTTTGATGATCCCTGTGGGCCCCTTCCAACTCAGGGTATTCTGTGAATCTGATGTAGTGCCTGAGGAAGAGCTGTGTTTTATTATACACACATATAAGGCAGGGGGTTGGCACCGAATGATCTTACAGTCCCTTCCAACCCAACCCATTTTATGATTGTTTGTTTAATATCATAGAATCATAGAATGGTTTGAGTCGGGAGGGACCTTTAAATGTCATCTAATCCAACATCCTCACAATGAGCAGGGACATCTTCAACTAGATCAGGTTGTTCAGGGTCACATCCAACCTGATGACCTTGAATGTTTTCAGGGATGGGGCATCCACAGCTTCTCTGGGCAGCCTGTGCCAGTGTTTTACTGTGCTCACTGTGACAAAAACCAAACCATACAGCAGTTTACACTGGCTTCGGTGGTCCATCCTCCCTGGGTAGTGTTTAGGGTGCTGCAGAGTGGCTGGTGTTGAATTGAGAGACACCTTACCCTTCTCTCTGGGGCTCAGCCTGAAGCCACTAAAATGTTTGCACTGCTGTGGTCACTACATCTGCAAAGAGCAGAGCTCATGGCTTGGGATGGACCAAGAAATGTGGGGAGTTAATTAAACAATTCTGGCCTGTGATGCTTCTCATGAGCCTTTAAGGCCCCGCTGCAATAAAACCTCCTGAAAACTGGTTATTCAGGCCTGTGACTTCACCCCTTGCCTTTCAATAGTGTTTTATGTATTAGCTGTCATTAACACCCATATAAATGAGCCAAAGGTCATCTTGCTTCTTATTTATGCTTTAATTCCCTTCAGTGGCTTTTATGCCACAGCATATTTTTGGAATCTGCTTAGTTTCCCATCCTGGTTCTCCTCACTATAGTCTCTTCAGCTTGTATAAGGATTACTAACTTTTTTTTTCCCCTTTCCTTTCTGCATGGTTACTTTGCTCCCTTTGTTCATCCATCCCCTCCCACCTGGCAGGGAGCCTTATGGAAAGGTCATCACCTTGTTCCCTTTCCAAACTCATCTTTAAACTCCTTTGTCCTCATACCTGCAAAGAGAAATGACAGCAGTGAAAGAGCTGAGGTGCTGAGGTCCCTCCACTCGTCTCCCTGTGGTGCTCAGGACTCACACAAATCCAGTTATTGCACTTTAGCAATCACTGTGCCTCTGCTGAGCCTGGATATCTCCCACCTTCCATAAAGAAGTGATTTCACTTAATTTACACTGCAATTAAACCAATTTAGGCCAGTTGCCTTCCCTCCTCTTTACATTTTCCAACCATGGCTAAACTAAAACACATCTCCATTTCCATAATGAAACACTTTTTTACTGTGAGGGTGACCAAGCACAGGAACAGGTTACCCAGAGATGTGGTGCAGTCTCCATCCTTGAAGGACTCCAAAAATATCCAAAAGGCATCTGGTCATGCTTCCATTCAACCAGATTTAGGTGACCCTGCTTGAGCAGGGGGTTTGGACCAGGTGACCTCTGAAGGACTCTTCCAAACTGTGATTGTGGGAAAGCAGGAAACTGAGTTCTTGTAAGACATTACAAGGTTATTGTTACCATAAATGAGACCGAGTTGTGGCTTTTTCAAGTGAAACTTTCTGGGTTTTATTTTTTAAATGGAAAACCTCATCTTGTTGCTTTTAGGAGCAGATGCACCAGTCTGACAGTTGGTAACATTTCTGATCAAAATGAAATGCAAACCCCACAAAAAAGCAGATTGTTTCATGGTTGTTAACTATTGCCAGCAGACTATCCCAGGGATTTGAACCTTCTTTTTCCACAACCTAGAGAAGAGTCTGGAACACAAGCCTACTGGCAGTGGGATGCTTTCCATCCTCAGTGAATCTTCTCCACTCTGCATTGCTAATTACATATAACTGAGTTATAAACCCCAGTCTCCTTTCTCATTAATTCTTCAGGAATACAGTTTAAAAAGTTTTAGCTCCAGTCTGAAAGGAAATGAGAATTTTTGGGAAATCTAGTGAACTTCCAAAGGCTGGAGATACCATTTTCAAGCCTGGAAGCACTGTCTGTTCTGATGCTGCCACTTGGGTTTTCAGTGTACTTCGTTGGTGCATCATTCTAGGGAAAACTTGTGCTACAAAAATAGCGAGAAACAGTTCTGTAAAATGGCACACACAGCTTCTGGTGCTTTGAAAAATTTGCCTTTCCATTGACAAATGATCAGACTTTGTTAGCAAAGTCTAGTGGGTAAAGTGAGAGCAAGGGAGACCACAAGAACTGGCTGGATTTTCACTGGGGGTCTGTGGCAGAGCTTTAAATTGACCTCAAAACATAAAAATCTCAGTTTAATACTGGTCTGAATTCACTGTAAACCTCAGAGTAAGAACTAATCTTCTGAGACACTCTTCCAAATTTTATGGGTTTTTTCAATATAGAAACTAATCTGGTAAACAGTAGTAATTAGAAATGTTGTTTGGTCTGAGGGGAGACACCAGCCATCACTTGAGCCAAAACTGTGGTGAGGTAAAATATTTTCTAACCTTGTACTTTTTACACCTCTCAGACATCAGTGAACAAAGATTTCTTGTATCCCACCATGTGGGTGAAGTTGCACATCTAAAAGTGACATGAGCAGCAAAGGGTGGTAGAAAAACTTCTGTGAGAAGTGAGTTTCTCTAAAATCAAAGTAATTGTTATTATTATTATTATTTTTTAATCCCAGTGATGCTGTGTCATTGCGCTTCCCTCTACCTGAGTTCCCACATCTCTTAAAGTATTAAGACAATTTGAGAGCAGCAAGAATTCTAAAATAATCAAACAATTGTGAGGAAGTGCAATCAAAAAGAAGAAACATGAGAAAATTAAGCTGAAAGAAGTACCCTTTAGTTCACTGAGGATAAGAAACAAGGAATCACAAAACCACAGTGAAGTTTAAAATCATGCCCAAACAGAAAGGAGAAGTTTTAAGAAGGAAACAGGAAGTAACGAAGTTCAGATAATGGGATCCATTGTAATGAAGAAGAAATAACAGAAATTACATAACACCTCAAAAAAAAAAAAAAAGGTACTGAACAGTCTGAAATGTTCTTGATTTTGTTTGCCCAAGATCTCTTACGATCCCAGTGTGAAGCCTGGTCAAAGGAACTGCAAACAGGGACAGTGCAGGAAAAGCCTGAGGAGCAGCACCAAGGTTTGCTGGAGTTGCTTCTTCTGGGACAGCTGTGAAAATGAACCTTCAAGAGCTTTCATGGAGTTCAGATCTGCTCTAAAGGCAAATTACAGGGACGAGTTCAGTGTCAAAATCCACCTGTCACGAGGGTTCAACAAGTGAATGAAGCCAAGGGTCAGGCTGCTGCTGATTTCAGAGCGAAACGAGTCCCTGACTGGGAAGATGCTCAGATGACTCAATTGTCAGAAATTTCTGGAGGTGAAACTCGAATATTTCCATGACTCACAGCTGCAGAATTGATTTGCTCCTGTTTGCAGAGGTTTTCTCGCTCTGGTGTGCAAAGAACCCCATTGTTCTAAACGTTTGCAAAGCTCTTGAGTTTCACCAATGCCATTTTTCATCTAAGAAACCAGTTTTGACTGCTGTTTATTCATTCTGGTTTATTGTACCAGCTTTCCAGTCAAGGGTGACAGTTTTGTGTGATGAATGGCACCAAAGGAATGCCACAATGACAGGATTCCTGTGAGGTGGGCAGGGTAGGGATGGGTGGTCAGAGAAGGTGCTGGGGGAATTTGCAATGTATTGTTGAATGTGTTTCTGCTTTCTTATTTCTGTGTGGCCAACATGTATCTTGGCCTTTTAGGCTTCTCAGGGTAAAGCTTATCCTGATTGCTGGTCCCTCCTCCTTTTGCTGGATTAAGCCAATTTGGGTTTGAGGTGCAGCTGGGACAGGGAGCAGAGGTGTTTTCCGAAGTGAGAAGTGCTTTGTTCTTACAGTCCTGGATGGATCAGGAAGCCCAGAGTACCAAAGAGCCACGTGAACTTCAGTTTTGCCAGTTTTGCCCGAAGGAAGGAGATGTCCTTGTGTTAATTAAGGCTCTTTTTAGCTGGTTGGAGGCCCAGGGCAATCAGTTTGCTTAAGAGTCCAGGAAATCTCCCTGTCCTTGAGTACACACATGTTAAAACAGGCAATACAGGTTGTCAGGATGTGTTTTCTCTCCCTTCGCAGCCAAATTTTGAAGTGTTTGGTTCTCAGACAAAGAGTGCAGTAGAATTCCCAGGAATCACATTTGACCAGGCAAGGTTTGGGTTTGAAGGACCACATTTAGTTCCCAGGCCTCCAACCTTACCTGCACCATGTGAAGTGAGCACTTCATCTGCCCCTGTCTCAGCTTCTCACAAGCACAAATAATTCGCTGATCTGTTTGGATAAAATTTTTCCACAAAAGAAGGAAGGAACAAGAAGGAACAAGGCAATGTGACAACAACCTTCTCAAACAATACTGGTGCAGTGCCAACAACCAAAGGTCTGGGTGCAACTGGCATTATGTGCCATTAGAAGAGAAGTTTTGTGGGCAACTCGGTGTTAAAATGTACTTTGTTTTTCAGGTCTGCACTTTACCACCCAGTGGGTCCCTCCGGTTTATATGTTCTATGTAATATGAAAACTTAATAACAGAGAATAAGCACGAGAATTTTACTCTAAGTGTTACAAGAATTGTGCTCTGGCATTTGTGTCACGACAGGCAGACATTTGTTTGGTGGAAGGGTGAAAGTTTGTTTTTAAATTGTGGTTTTCTCTTTCCCAACAGGGAATGTGACCAGGAATTGTACAAGCCAGGGCTGGTCGGATGTGTACCCTGCTCCCTACACCGTAGCTTGTGGATATGATTCCAACAGCACTCCAGGGGAAGAGGTTTGTAAGCCTGGATGGGTAGACATCAACATTTAACAGGGATCCATATCAAATGGTCTCCCCATGCCCAGTTTTTTTCCATTTCCACTCTGATTCCCCAAGAGAGGAGAGCCCTCTGGAAGATCCCTGGAAGCAGAGTTCAAATGTTGGATCAAAGAAAAGATCTTCCCTTTGATTTTATAGAATCATGGAATCATGGAATGGTTTGAGTTGGAAGGGACCTTAAAGACCATCTCATTCCAACCCTCCTGCCTTGGGCAGGGAGACCTTCCACTAGACCAGGTTGCTCCAAGCCCTGTCCAGCCTGGCCTTGGACACTTCCAGGGATGGGACATCCACAATTTCCAGGGCAGTGACAGGAAATCAGCACCTGTGAAGATCAGGCCAATGTCTATGTGATGCCCAGGTGCTCCATTTTCCATGGTGAACTTTGAAACAAGCCCTCCACATTCATATTTGTCCTTAAGTCGATACAGTGATTCCAGTCTTTCTAGGGCAACATTAGGATCAAAAGGGATAAAAAGGATATAACTCACTTGCCATCAGTGCTGCCCTGCTGAACTCAACCAGCTGAATATCTAGAGCACTGTAAGGAACACACATTTCTGTGCAATATTCCTGAATTTTATAAGGAAATCCTCAAGCTCTCTGGATATTGTCTGTATATAAATTAGCGATTGCTGACTGAGGTATAAACAGCTTTATTGAGTAGTGTTATTACACAGGGAGGAGTTTGTTATTGGTTTGCTGCCTCCTGAGACAAGAAGGGTAAAGTCTAAAGAGGGTGACAAGTGTCAGAAGCAAAATTCACCTCACCTAACTCAAAGTTCAGCATCTAATCTAAACTAAACTAGTCCCCTATAACTGTCACACAGTCAACAAGAGAAAGCTTATGCTGGAAAAGAATCACATTTCACAGCAATCAGATATTGTAGTGTTTATATTTTTATATAATATGTTTATATTTTTATATAATATGTTTATATCTTTATATAATATGTTTATATTAAACCTCCTCCCATGTTTGTGGGTTTTGGGTTTTTTTCTGTTTTATGACATATCAGTGTTTGCGAATGTTGGTCATAGGAATCTCAATAATGAATTAATATATGTTTCCAGTACCTAAAGGGGGCTTACAAGAAGACTAGAGAGGGGCTTTTCACAAGGGCATGGAGTGATAGGACAAGGGGGAATGGCCTGAAGATGAAGTAAGACAGGTTTAGATTACATATTAGGAAGAAATTCTACCCTGTGGGCGTGGTGCAGCACTGGAACAGGTGGCCCAGAGATATTGTGAACTGCCTATCCCTGGAAATGTTCAAGGCAGGGTTGGATGGGGCTCTGAGCAACCTGGGATAGTGGAAGGTGTCCCTGCTCATGGAAGAGAGTTGGAACAAGGTGATCCTTAAGGTCCCTTCCAACTCAACCCATTCTATAATTCCATATGTGGTGAGAGGTCTCTGCGTGTGGTCACACATTCCCAAGGCACTCAAGAAAGGATCTGAACAGAACTGAGGCAGCTTTAGGAGTGGAATAACATAGAAAATAGCCAAGGGAAAGTTGCACAAAGAATTCCAGGGCTCTTCTGCAGAAAGTCTTAGTCTGCCTTCAAGGTCAGCCACCACTTCACATCCTCAAGTGTCCCATCCCTCAGATCGAGCTGTGTGGCACCAGCTCAGCGCTGCAAAAGCTGGTCTGCTCTGGGAAGGACTTCCCTCCAGAGCCCTGGTTTGTGTTAGAGCTGCAGAGGGGATTTGGGAATTCCTGGGACGTGCTTTGGCGACCCGATGCACTGCGGCACTGCCAGAGTGTCACGTTACCAGGAGAACACGGATTGTGTTCTTTTAATTCTTTCTTAATTATTTTCTCCTGGTTTCTGCACTTTTGTTATGCTGTTTAATTCGTGTGAAAGGTGGCTGAGGGGGGTGAACATGCAGTACTAGCCTGGGAGGAAGAATAGTTTTTTGGTGGTGGTGTATTGGCTGTCAGTTTGGGGAGGAAAAAGTAAAGGGAATAGAAAAAAAGAATAACAGGTTGTGTAGGAAAATGTTTCCCATTGTAAACCAAGATACCAAGGGACAAATGTTGAGGTTACTGAACAGAAACCAAGGAAGATGATTCTTAATTAATCTCAGTGTAACACCTACCTGAAATAATTGTTATTATCACATTCCTGGGAAATTAAGCAGAAGCTTTCAGAAGTCAGAGAGACAATGATGAAATTGCTTAATTTCATTCTGTAAATTGGTCTAGGTCTTCAGCTAGAATCCAGGCATCCTGCCATGCATTGCCTTCACTTACCTAAATCCCTCTTTTTTTCTACTAAGAATATTTTAGTCATCTGAACCCTGAGTGAAACTCCAATTCCATTGATGATCTTGGGTCGAATCCTCTCGTTTGATATCTGTAAAGTAGGAACTGATTGTCATTAGCAAGTGCAAATGAAGAGTGAGAAGTCATCACGTGCTGTTTCCAAAACAGAGATGACCCCTTGTGCTACATTACAGCTGAATTCAGAACCATCCCTCTCTACACAAGAAGGATTGGTCACCATGAAATATAAAGGCAGGGAATTGCTTGTTGAATAACACCAAGAACTTTCCTGCTCCTGGGAATAACTCTAAGAGGCAAAAGACCTATATCTATATTCACACTGGAGAGTTTCCATCCACCACCCCACTGCTGACATCTCCTTTAAAACCCCTTATTTCCTTTCCCCCATTTCTCTGCTCTCCTAAATACAGTGTGGGACAACCTCTTCCTCAAACACAGTCCCCTACCACAAGCTCCCTCCTTCTGCTGGCCAGGTCTTTCCTGGAACATTTCTGCTCTGGTGCCACCAAGAAGGAAACTAAATAATGAGAGAAAGATGAAACCAAGAGGAAGGAGGTTGACTGCTTTTACTGGAAAAGTCTCAGCTGCCTTTGAGATCCCAAACACCAATAAGGCTGGAAAGAAGACTTAATTTAGGTAGCTTTGAGTGTCTTGTTTTAACCCCCCTCCAAGCTGGCTTGTGCAAATACTAAAGGATTGCTACTCATCTCAGCCCCACTGGTTCTCTAAAGCACCAAGTGTTTGTCAAGGCCTGTGAAAATAACATATAAAAGTGTCAGCTCTCAGTGTTATTGAAGAACGTTTCTCCAAACAAGGTTGGGTTTAGATTTTCTGTCTAAACTGCTCTTTGTGGTTTTGGTTGTTTGGGTTTTTTATTGAAAAGAAGGACAAGGAAGGCAGAGAAGGGTCAGTCAAGGGCTGGAAAAAAATTCCATTTTCCACAAACTGAGTTAGATTCTCATAAAAACTTAGATTTTTCATTGATAAAATAAATGTCTAAATACTTTTCTCTTTTGTCCTTTATTTAAGCTGAAAATCAGAACGTATTGATTTAGAGTGTTGCTAGAAAGCCTTGGAGAGCTGGAGTTTTGCTGCCTTACTTCCCCATTTTGTTTAGAACGGGATTCCCTGCTGGATTTCTGAATTAACAAACTCAACATATATTTCTGAATTAACATATGTGTGATTTCAGTGAGAATGTTTTAAGTTACTTGCCTAAACACGACGTGCAACTTCCACAAAAACAAACCAATTTCCCAAGCAGTTCTGCCCTCAAACTTCCTTAATAAGCCTGAAGCTCCTCATCCTCCCCACGTCGGCGGTGATGTGTCAGTGTGCTCTTTAGCTGAACATTAGTCATTCCTGTTCCACGAGGTTCTAACCATGTAGCTGTCTCTGCAAGTGTCAAACCAGGTTCCTTCCAGCAGGAACATTTCCCTGGTGTAACTCCAGCCTGGTTTTGGAGTGATCCAAGCTCTGCTGCAACCAGACGTGTTCTTATTCACACCGGTGGTATTTGAGTCGTGTGCTCTGCTGGATGTGAAGGAGTTGTTTTAAGAGGATGGAGAAGGATGATTTCCTTGTCTCACCAATCAGTGGTGCTGTATTTAGGAATGTATTTTAGCAGCTCATTGAAAGACCTGTTTTGCCTCTTTCCTCTCCCCCCAGCAAACAGCGTTCTATGGCACGGTCAAGACCGGCTACACCATCGGACACACCTTGTCCCTCATTGCCCTCACAGCTGCTATGATCATCCTGTGTCTCTTCAGGTAAGAGCATGAGCAAACAAGGCACTCAAAAGGACATAGAAGCTGTTAAAGTTACAGACTTTGTAGGCTGTGAGTGTTACAGATAAATGCCAAAAACTTCTGTCACATCTGAGTTGGATAGCAGAGGAAAGTTCTCCTGTCCTTTGATACCTGTTTTTTAGAATGTGATTTGTGGCCTTTGTGTGACATTTATAACCCAAATCCAATTTATTTAGGTGGATTCATCTCACTAAAGGTAGATTGTTACATGATGGATCCCTGTATTAGAGGTCATTATTCCATAAACCTGTTATAGTCCACAGTCCCAGGCAGATATATGGATACTACGGAATTTCTACTCAGAGTAGGTATTCAAAATGGTACAGATTAATCACACTCCAAAACTACCCAGAATCACCAAATCCTAGAATGGTTTGGGTTGGAAAGGACCTTAAAGATCATCTCATTCCAACCCCCTTCCACTAGCCCAGGTTGCTCCAAACCCTGTCCAACCTTGGACACTTCCAGGGATGGGGCAGCCACAGCTTCTCTGGGCAACCTGTTCCCTCCCAAAGCCTATTTCAGAAACACTTCCTGCTGTAGTTTTATGGCAAGACAGAAACAACCAGAGCCATTTTAGTCATGCTGGTGGCTCTGGGATGTGCACAAGGGTAGCAGATACAACACAGGACCTTCAGGAGACCCAGGCCCTTATGGACTGATGGGCAGATACTCTGCAGCTTATCAAGTGGCATTAGAAGCCCAGACTGCAGCAAATTAATTTATCCTCAGTCTCTTGTTTATAAATGAATCAGGCATCTAAATTTGGGTGCCTCCAATGAAGAAGTCTGTGTATAAGTTATCTCCTACTATAAAGTTGTTTTTGTAAAGGGAGAACAGCAAAATTCAGTTCAGCAAAGATGTGGTTCCCCCTCCTCCTGTAGGAAAGAGCTTATATTCTAGGATATAACTCTCACACTTAGACCAAGACTGACCTCACCTTTCAAGAACTTTGCTCTCCACTCGTGCATTCTCTCCTCTCACAAGGGAGGAGTGAATCAGACCCACATGCAGACTATCTCAACAAGATACAAGGTACCAGGCTGATGAAACTGTGGAGGTTCACGCTGTTCCTTTGTGGGAAGCAGAGTCATTTGACTTCCCTTCACCTGCAAGTAGATGGAGCTCAACTCAGTCACATTATCCTGCCATCACCCCAGATCAGGAGCACAACCTCTGCCATGGCACAGGGACTCATTAGGAGCTGCTAATTTGATTGTGCTCCTGAGCGAGGTCTGTTGTGGCTCTGGTGTCTGTACAAAGTACCCGTCTGCAAAGTATTGGGCTCTTCACGTTTCTGGTGTAAAGTCCCACTTGAAAAAAAAAAACCAAACCTACTTGATCAAAATTCATCTTCAAAATGTGTGTTTAACCAAATGCTGATTTTTCTCTGGAGAATATTCCCCCCTCTCATGCTAATAAGATTAATATATACAATAAATTAAAAGGAATGTAATTATTGTGCAGGATACAAGTGTACATTTATTGCCAATTTCGCAATTTGTGTTTTAAAATAATATTATATATAATTTCTTTTTTAACTGCTTTGCGCTTTTTTTCAGATATGCCTTTGATGAATAACTTTTACTTCCCATTCTTGAGATACTGTGATCTTAACAGAAGAAATACAATCCTCAGACACGGATTATTATTTTAATATGATTTTAAATATTTTTTCCTGATTTATCAAATTGACTACCAGAAGTGTCACCCAATCTATGCTTTAAACTAGATGAATTCTGGCGGTGTTCTCAGTATCATTAACAACCAGTATTTTTTAAGTAATAATATAGTTCATGTTGCTCCAGAAAGCCTGTAATATGTGCTAATTTTGGCAACAGAGGCTAAGAATTTATTTCCCTTCTTGAACAAACATTTCACTTTGGAAATAATGATTGCAGTACAAACATTCTGTAGAAAACAGCTCTTTATTGTGAGCACAGGCTGCTCAGTGGAAAACATTTCTTTTCCAGCGGAGAGCAGTGGGATGGACCTGTTTTCTGTCACTCTGTATTTGGTCCTGCTTTTCTGAGTAATGAAAAAGCAGCAGCACTGCTGCAGATCTGTGGATCACCACGTTTTGTGGATTTGAAAAGGCTTAAGTGGATTTGTGGTGATGTACATCAGAACAGAGCCTGTCTCAGGGTTTCTAATGTTTAATTGTAACTCCATGTCACATGCAAATAGGTAAATAACCCCTTTTGAGAAGCCTGGCTATTCAGAAACGTTTCATCTCTTCCCGACAGAAAACTACACTGCACTCGAAATTATATTCACATGCATCTCTTCATGTCCTTCATCATGAGAGCCATTGCAGTCTTCATCAAAGATGTCATCCTATTTGAAAGTGGAGAATCCGAGCACTGCTTTGTGAGTTCAGTAAGTAGCCTTGCACTTTGAAGTTTCCACCTTATTCTGTTGCCCCTCTTAAACAATGCACCAAAAATTACCTTGCAAGTGCACGAGAGACAGGACTTCGGGAAGGTTTCGGGGTGTTTTTTTTCTTATTTCAAAGAAAAAATATGATTGGTGCAGTTCAATTTATATGGAAGGGGAATAAATTGATTATCAGAATCAAAAATTTTATAGGCATCTTGTCCCCTTGTGAGGTTGGACTCGCTGATCTTAGTTAGAGGTATTTTCCAACCTTAACGATTCTGTGAGGTCAAACCCACACCTGAGGCTCTACAAGATTTTGGGGTTCCTGTCAACCTGGTGACCATGTCCCAGCCACATGCTAATTTTTTGGATATCCTGGTCCAAGGAGACTTGCAGTGCTGTGTTTAGAGATTCAATAACACCTTTCCCTCCAGAGTCAGACCCAGATTCTCATAACTAACTCCAGGTATCCTTGGGGTAAGTGCCTGTACATGAGTGTGTAAAGTGCAACCATAGTCAGTGAAGCTCTAATTAATATGTTCACTGGAGCCTGGAGAGCTGTTCACCTCATTTGGAATAAGGCACCTGGATTTGGATGGGCTCCCTGGGCTTCAGTGACCCCACTTCTGCAGGACTTTGGGCAGGAAATCCATGTGTAGACATCATCATCTATTTTTCACCTGGACCTGTCTCCCACGCTCTCTGTCTGCAGCTGTGAGATTTCCCTACTGGGACAATAAATGAGGGGAATAAAGGAGTTGGGATTTTATTTTTTTTTTTCACTTTCAGTGTTATCAGCTGGAGCAAACATTGAGGAGGGAGAAGGGCTGTTTATCTAAAGGCCATGTTGATGTAAGGGGACACCAGCCATGGGTAAATTTAAGCAGGAAATTGAAGTCACCAAAACAAAGAGATGTGATCACAAATCATTCAAAAAAAAAACCCCAAAAAAAGAAAAAAGAACCCTCCATAGCAAATTCATAACATTATATTATGCTTATAACATAACATTATGCTTGCTGGCAATAGCAGGAGACTGGGCACAGCAATCCAGTAAATCCCTTCTGGACCTGTTTTTTTTGTGTCACACAGCACCAAAAAAAGATTCTCTTCCATCCACCCAGTTTATTCCTTGCCTTCTGGCTTTTCTGTATCCTAAACCTGAGTCCTGTCCCTGCTGTTACAATGAACTTTCTGCTCCAGCATCTCTCAGCTGCAGCCTCCTTTCAGCTTTTCCTGAGACCTGTCTGCAGCAGGAAGTGTTCCCTTTGGAATGTCCCTCCGTGCTTTTCCCTCCCAGTGGCTCACTGGGATCTCTATTCTTGCAACTGGTTTTTCCTGGGAGAGTCCATGAATGGTTAGAATGACATGGAAACTGGAATAAAAAAAACCACTGATGCCAGTTGGCAGAGGAGACAAGAACCCAACAAACCACAGAATTTGAACTAACCCCTCACCCCTGGGGGGATTTGCACTGGGTTCTGACTGGGACATGACCACAGAGAGCTGTGTGAGAAGTGTTCCATCCAGAAACAGAAATACAGGAATTTTCCTGCAGAATCCACAGCTCCTGGAAGCCACTGTGCTTTCAGGTAGACCCATGGGGTGTGTTTATCCCCGTCAGAGAACTTTTATGTTTAACACCAGCTCAGGGTGAATGGCTGGATGATACACAAGGGTTATAAAATTGTGTGGAACAAATCTGTCTCTGCTGCACAACCCCTTGTGAAATCTGCACAGCCTGTCTTGAACCGACCCTATGGACAAACTTTTAAGTCATAGTGAAAAAAATACCTACATAAAACACAGTCAAAATGCCTTTCCCAGCATTTATCTGTTTGGAGAAATAATTACAACCCCCCATTCCTGTGGGTTTGGTTTGGTTGGCTTGGGGTGAGTTGTTTGTGCTTTGAAACTGCAGGATAAAGTTTGAGTTGGGAGACCTGGAGACTAAGTCATGAACCCAGGACTTTATACACAATTTCCTGAAGGTTTTGTGTGTAGTGGCTGGATGTGGCCTTGAGCTCATTCAGTCTGAGGAGTGATTTGAACAAACAGTTCAATTTTGTGAGTGCTGTCACCACTGTGCTGGTTTAAAACAGGGCAAACCCAAAGCAATAAAAGTGTTCTGTTGGAAGAGAAAGTACCACTCTTAGTTCCTCTAAGGGATAAAAAGATAAAGGCACCCCCCTCCCAGAACAGATTTAGGGATGTAAAATCCAAATAAATAGATGCCTCTCCCAGCGTTTCTGATGAAGGGACCAAATTCCTGAACTTGGTATTACCTGTAGCAGTAAGAAGATTTAAAATTATGTTTTATGCACCAGCCATACAAAAATATGTTAAGCTCTCCCACAAATATGTCCATGTTTAAATCAACTGGGAACTGCAATACATGAAGGTGTATATGCAATTGGAAAAAAAAACAAACACAAAAACAAAACAACAACTTTTTCATAGGTTTTACTGCATTTTTACTTCATTTTACCTTGTGTGGGAAACCTCAGGTATGGTGCTAACTCATTTTAAACTCAAATAGTTTTGGATTACCATTGAGTTCAACATGAACACCCTGAAAAATTAAGTTTGTTGGGCATTTCTATGGAGCCTGGGAATGTGGCTGTAAGCATTTCAGGGGCAACATAGCCAAAATATGTGTGATGAGGATCACTGAGTCCTCATGTGAGCCAGCACATGTTCTGGGTGATGTTTTCAGAGTGATGGGTGGCACCCGGAGCCTCCACGAATTCCTTGATCCTACTTTCTTGATAAATCCTCTCCTGGGGGAGAGAAAATTCCTGCTAGTTGGGTGAAAAAAATCATCCTGTTTTCACTGGGCAGAAACCCCGAGTTGGTAAGCAGGGCTTGTTTTCATGCCTAAATGTGGCAGGTTTAAATGGTCACTGAACCCAGGACCTGCTCAAGGTCTTTGTCCCACATCAAGGAAGCTCAGCATCGGTGGCTTTACGAACATCCCTCACCCTTTCTCCTCTTCCCAAGTGTCCAAATCTAACAGACTTGTTTCTAGGCACAGTGTGGATCACTTGGCTCAGGTAGAAGTATTTAGGCCAAAAGTCCACTGTGGGATTTTCCAGTGGGAAACAAAGCACTGCAGAGACCTTGAATTTTGTCAAGGGGTGGAACCAGCAGAGGGGTCTGGTGGCCACACACAGCACATTGTCCGAGGTGCCAACAGCCCTGAGTAGACCAAAACCACTTTTTCCCCTCTCTATCAAGCCTTCTGTGACAAAGTACATCTGTAATTATGTATAACTGAATCACCCTGTTGTCTTCAAAGGCTTAAAAATAGACCTGTGCTCAGCTGTGTTAGTCTGGGCTTTGAACACTTGGATGCCGAGACAATCAGGCTCAGAGGGCTCTGTGGAACCACCCACTTGGACTTCTTCAATAACTGTCCATTTTCATTCATTCAGATTATGTTCTGTCCCAATAACTGGTCATTCCTGATGGAAAACTCGCCCACTGTGGCTTTATTGCATCCAAAATTGCACATACTGTGGGAAAAATTGCGTTTTCCCACCTGGATTTGCCTTTACCTTTTGTGGGTTTTTTTTTCACTACCAGGCTCAAGAGGCCTCCTCAGAAGGTTTAGTTTTTCACACTTGTTTTCTTAGGTCTAGTGACTTTGTGTCTTGGCATTCCCACACTTTATCTTCCCCTTTCCTTGTCTCGCTGGGGAACACCCTGTGAAACACAGCAGCCAAAACAGCAAACCTGATGGAAGGATTGAACTGAACACTTCAGTTGTTGTTTCATTTGATTTTTTGTGGGTTTATGGATCGGGTTTTATATAGTTTCATTACTCTCCTATCTGGATACCATAATAATGATGAACTTCTTACATTTCCAGTCTTGCTGAACACAAAAAAAGCCAACAGTTTGCCATAAACAAAGATCCAATTCTACAGATTAAGCTCAGGCTCGAGTTTTGAACTCTGAAAATTTACTTCTGCTGAAGATTCAGCCACATAATTTATCTTTTTTGGTGTTGTATTCCAGTAAGACAAAAACTTCCAACAAAAAAAAATATTCTTTGCAAAGGAGGTTGGGACTTCAGCAACTGTGAACTTACACACATATCTCGTATTTTCAGAGTGAAAAATTGGGGGTTTCCACATGAACTTCCTCAGGCCAAACTGATAAGAGCTCCAGGCCCCTAAATGAACTTTATTTATGGAAGTTGAAGACTTTTCTTTTCCAATTGACCCCCATCTGAGGCTCATCAGATCCATCTGGGAGGACCATGATATTCAGGCTCGTGGAGAGATGGAAGAGTAGAAACCTTTTTTATGCAGTTGTGTAAAAGTGAAGCAAATATTAGAGACTTGGTCATTTTATTGAGTTATATCCTTCAGGAAAAGCTGTTCCCACCTGCACAGAGGAGGGATGAGCTCTTTAACAGCATCTGCTCAGCTTTGGGTGGCTTGGGGGGAAGAGCAGAGCTCTGAAGACAGTGTGATTCTTCTCTTTACTGTAATTAAGGTTGGGTCAGTCTCCAAAATGTGTAAATACATCAGCTGACCCTTTTTTCAGTAGCTCAGCCCATTCCTGCAGAATTGTACCCCTTTCACAGAGCTCGGTGGGTCCAGCCAGGCCCAAAGGTACTGCTGAGATCAGGAAGTGCCTTACAACATGAGGTCCACCTTGTTTTTGGGAGGGAAACATTTGGTTTTCATCACAAGGAGCAGCACAAGGAGAAAATGAAAAATCACTACTTATGGAAACTCTAAGTTTCCCACTGTGCTTTTCTACTCTTGTATGACCTGAAGACCCTCACCCTGTCCACAAATGCCTGTGAAATCCAACCAAATGGTGCCTATTGGCTTCAGGAAATAGGGATTACAGTGGACTTGTCACAACACAGACCTGACACACCCATCTCCTCAGTCTTTATTTTGACCATCAGATTAGATACAGAGATTTGCATCTTCCAGGCAACTTCTGTGGACTGTTATCCACGTATCTGGTGATCTCTTCAT